GACTGGGATTGCTTTGTCCATCGCTGAAATGTAGCCATATATGGGCTCAAATAAAACAGCTGCTTAACAGTGCATGGCAACCCTATGCAGCTATTCAGCTCAGAAAGTGAAGAATGTTATCCTATTGAAACTGTAGCATGTATTTACCTATCTAGAATGCAGTCACCCAGACAGGAATTTCCTTAGGTCAGTAGGGCTTAATATTTTATGAAAATTGCCATGGAATCTTTAGAAATCAAAAATGGGCAGGGCTTTGGTTGTAGCTCTCATCCAAAGATTGTACCTCCAGCACTGTATAGCCCTCTAATGCTAGGCATTGGTTCTGCATTAACAGAGAGAAAAAGCCATCTGTTGAACTACAAGTACAGTTTCTTGCAGCAAAGTCGTCTTAAGAAGTCTCACCTAAATGTTGACAGCCCGAATCTGCTTAGTTATGAGAGCCCAGCCTGAGCTGACGTGGCTCTCAACAGCTTTCTGAGATAGTTGTCTATTACACCTATTATTATAGATAGGCGCACTAATGCGGAGTGAAGATAAGTTGACTTGACTATGGTCTCAGTGACTGGGAATAGAAATGAGGACTCTGATCTCCCATTCTCCTGTCTAACCACAAGATTACAATGAAGACTACATAGGTGTTTCTAGCATTCACAGAAGAGCTTGGGACATTAGGTGAACAGGAAAATGATGGACCCTAAAGGGTTAATAGAAATACTGCAAAAAGCTATTTCCTGGCCTGCATTCCCCATTATGGTACACTGAGGCAGATAAGATAAAATGGCTCCTAGAATGCAGCGAGGAGTATAGGAAACTCCAAATGGCAGATTCAAGGTCCAAAAGATGCTGCTGTACCTTCAGCTAATGTGGACTAGTAAACACGAACACTTGACCCAGCTGATAAGACATACTGCATGTACCAACTTGCTCTAGCTGGTGCAGCCTTAATGGTGGGTAATCCTTGCATACACAGCTGTTTACACAGAGAAGTTGTTACACATTAACCTGGACAGAGTCATCTAGTCAGCTCTTGCCCTAGGTTTTTTCCCTGCTCTAAGTGAACTAGAAAATGTCCAACCCTTTTGTCCACTGACACAAGTAGTTTCTGCCCTAGAGTAATGGTCTACTTTGCCCTGTGCAATAGGTGATTGCCAATTGTGGCTATGGTAGAACCATCTCTTGTCACCAGGTAAGTTAATAAAACAAAGGTTGCTAAAAAATGGACACAGTAGGAAGACCAAAGAAACCTAAGAGTTGCTGTTTACAGGAGTTGCTGGTTTCTCCTTCCATGTGTGTAGTGATTTGGGTGTTCCGGTCTTCAGCTCTTGCAGACAAGTTCACTCATCTTCCCTGTTCTACTTGAGAAAATGAAGCAATTTTTAAAATCATCAGTTTTATAACTTGTTTTGGGGAAAATGGTGTGAAGGCTGAAAGGCTGAGAAGCTTTGGCTGTTTTATTATAAAGAGTTGAGGCTCCTTTATTTAGAAAAGCAAATGAAAATGGGAAGGATTGCAAGCTCCCTCAATACCTACTTTCCTATAATCACAGGAACATACTCAGACTGCCCACCCCTACCCCAACCCAAACATGACCCCTGCTTGGTGAAAGCACAGTCAACACGGAGAGAGAATAAATTCAACCCTTATCAAACTCTAATCACGCCAGAGCAGGAGGATAACAAATGCACTATGGCAGCTGGAAACTGCACAATGACTTGAGAGATTCAGAACAGCGAGTCTCATGCAGAGAGATGAGTTTCAGTACAAATGAATGTAAAGTCACATGCCAAAGGCAAAGAAATGAACAGCGGAGATACAAATGAGGAAACAGCTATCTGAATATCTGAGATGTATAAAAAGATGTCTCTTACTCTGGGTGCCTTTGAAATGAGGGCTAGTTCAGTGAGAGCCACCAGCAATCCCCAATAAAAATTCAACCCCAATACTAAAACGTTCCTTTCCTCTCTTAAAGGCCTGGGTAAAAAGGCAGGCCTTGCAGCATGCCCTGAAAATCAACACTCAGTTGTTTCAGTGCAAGGTGGAGAAATGGTTCCGAAGCTGAAGGACTCTCAGTGAATGCTGTACCATAGGTTGGTGGGAACGACAAGTTGAGTGCCTCCGCTGGACTGCAGCTGTGGCAGTATTTCCTTGGGGGGGGGGGGGGGGGGCGCAGGGGCCATTTCTGAAGAGGATAGGACCCCCCCCCCCAAGCCTTTTAGAACTTCATAGAGCAAAGCAATACTTGTCTCCTCAAGATTGGATTAGTGCAATGCCCTGTACATGGGGCTGCACTTTAACTCAACTTGGAAACTAAAACTGATGTAGAAGGTAGTGGCCTGCCTGGTAAGTGGTGTGTCTTGATAGGACATCAATGGTCAGCCATCTGCACTGGAGAAAGGCACAAATCACAGTAAATAGATTGCAGTGTCCTGTTCCCAGACACATGAACAAAGCATTATGAGGCACAGCTGTTCTATGGTCAACTGACGATAGCTGGAGCTCCAACGCTAGTCCCAGAACGTGAATGAGAGTGACTGGTGGTAGACACATCCTCCAAGTGGGGCGTGAGAAATCAATGTCACATCTACTCACTACTTCACTTCAGCCATATCCGGACTGAGCTTTAAACAGCTTGCCTCTCTTCCAAGTCCCAATCTCCAAATGTGACTGGGTGCTCAACAGCACTGGCAGAGTCAGGCATGGTAGAGAACAAGACCTGGGTGTTGTCAGCATACTGATCATTCTGCATCCCATACTTCCTCGCTAACCCTCTTAAAGGCCATATATACATGTTGAACAGGAGTGGAGTGGGGATGAGATGGAACCCTGCAAAACTCCAAATAACAGCATCCTAAGGGGGACAGAACATTGATTCAGGACAAGTGGCTCATGCCAACTTCTGGGAACACTTGGTCAAGGAGGAATGGAGCTGCCCAAGAGCAGCCCTATCTATTGCTGGTGCAGTTCACAGGTGCTTCAATGATACCTCATGGTCATTGGTATCATGGCAGTTGATAGCTCTAACATTGGGATGGACACATGATCTTCATCCATTGCCAGGAGGTGATCAGCAACCAATGGCACCTGTGTAATTGCTGTCCTATATCCAGACTGACAAGGTTTAAGGAGATCTGAGGCACTTAAGGTACTCTGGGAGTTGTCTTAGCACAACCTTCTCAATAACTTTTAACCAGGAATGTAAGATTGGATACTGGACAAGAGTTAGCCAAATAGTATTGTGTTAGTTTCATGAGCGAAGACCATGCAGCAGCTTCCTTAGTGAAACTAGCATCTTGCCCTTAGTAAGAAAGGAACTGATACATACAGGTGCGGTCTCTGGGTTGTCAGCAGAGTCCCTGCTGCAACAGCACGTTCTGGGATGTAGAGGTGTGTCGTTTGCTCTTTTGCGCTTCATCAAAGACAATGTTACTGCAGGGGTCCCAGGTAAATAACAGAATCAAAGTCTCTCCTGTTTCCCTTGATCCCAGGTAGGGTGAATGCCAATACTCAAAGGCTTGGCTGGCTCAGTGGTTTATTTACTCCTCCATCCTTTACCTGCTTGTGCCTGAGTACGATAATGGGTGCATGATTGCGGTTTGCTATGTGGCTGAGGAAAGTAAGCAGCAGTATCTTCCACAGCTGCTGTGCAAAGTGCACCTCCTGTCTGTGGCAGACTGAGTCAAACTGCACCTCCAGCAGTCTCTAGAGACTGACACTGTCATTTGACTCAGAGGTCCAGCCCCCGCTTGCCAGAAATTCAAAGACTGAGTCTCCTCCACAGTAATGTTTAGTGGCATCGCGGCACCATCTGACTGAAGGCAAGTATTTTAATGTATAATTGAAATGTTGGTGTCTCTCCAACCACACGTGCTTTGCTGCACACAGTTTTCTGATGACAGTTCTGTCTATTGCACACGCTGGTCCCAGAATTTCACTGCCATCTCCCCTGTAATTTGGAGTGGATTATTTTGTCTTCCTTATGACACCATCCTGATCCCTGCTGAGGCTCCTCTCTCTCAGGCCCTGTACTTTCTGTACTCCCTGTACTTATCACTTTCTGAATGATATACAAGTAGGTGGAAGAGAGAGAACTTCCTGAAATTATCAGGAACCATAGAAGACTTTTCACCTAAAAGTGTTGAGGAAACACCTCCTAACCCTGGGAGAAAAAAGAGAGAGAGTACAACATTATGTAGCAAGCTATCCCTGGCTCAGGAATGGATTGGAATTACAAATGGGTGTGGCATCAAACCCAAGACATAGTGCGCCACCTGGTCCTGGACAGATCCATCCTACCTCTGATGATCCCTTAGGAATCTGTGTTTCTCTTGAGCTTTGGCACCTCTTGTGTCTTATCAAATATCGAATCCGTACAGTGTGTTCAGCATTGGCAGCACACACTTTGCATGTGAGGGGAGTTCTTACTTTCTGTACCTATTGCAGTATTCCCATGCACAAGAGACCTGACAGACAGTACGTTAGAGGAGATGTACCCAGCTCCCCTTTTATTTCCTCCTCCCATCTCTGTGCCTTGAGCTGGAATCAAATGTCAGATCAAAATAGCAGAGACAAAATGTTCCTGACAAGAAGCAGCTGGAAGTTGATGTTTGCAGGGGTTGCACTGAAGCTCTGATGAACCTGACAGGGATGGATGTGACAAGACCAAGCTCAGTATTTCCCCTTTGAAATCTCTGCTGACACTTCACCAAGCATGGATCACTGTGCTCCTACCTGTGTTCCGCTGGCAGCCCCAGGATCCTGTCGTCATCTTCTCAGTGCTAGATTGGTCAAAGTTTTTTGTTTTATTTTTACTTACAATTTTGCACAACTAACTAGTGGGGTTTGTCAAAATTAAAAAATTTTCCCAGGAAAATGTTTTGATGAAAATAATTTTTTTGAGGAGATATTGCAAACATTTTACTTTCTAATTCAAATTTTGAAATGCCAATTTTTTTTTCATTTTGACATTTCCACAATGTTGGGATGTTTCTTTCCATGAAAACTTTTCATATTTTGACTTTTTATTTAGTTTCAGCAAGAAAACAAATGTCAAAATATTGGATTTTCTGGTGGGATGGGAATTCTGTGTTTTAAACAGCTGTAGTTGGGGCAGTTTTCTGTTCATTCAGTAAATCCTCTGACTTAACAATGAACATTTTTCAAGCATCTGTAAATGAGTCTGAACAAACATTTTAAAATAATTCACTACTTCCTGCCCTGTTTGTGCATCTTTGTTACAGTCTTTTGGGACTAGATTGCAGGCTTTGTGTGGAAGAAGCAGGAGAAGAGGTGGAAACCCAACTGTTTAAGATACGGTCATCCTAGAACTCTTCAGTTCCCTTTCACAGGTGGGAAGGTGAACATCCAGTTGATGGTTGTGCTCTAGTTCTTACTGTAAACAGCCCAATTTTCATTTGTAATCTTTGCCTTTGTTTAATCCTGATGTCTAGAAGAGTAGATGAACAGAACATGAGGAGAAAGGAGGAGTGTCCCTCTTGCAATAGATGGTCACATTTCTTACCTTTAAAAAAAAAATTATCAGGTGATTTTTGCATATGCCCAGTTCTTAACCAGCACTGGGACCACCTTTACACTGTAGCGCTACCACCACTCACCCCAAACAGTGACCTCCTTCCATGGCACACAATCCCCACATTTGGTGTGAGGCATACTCTCTGGTTCACCATCAATCGTTAACTATTAATTATCGGAGTTAATTGTCTTTTATGGAAAATGTACAAACATTGCCCTGTCCATGTTCATGCGGTGAGGTGTCTGACTGCAGGAGGACTGGGAGGCTTACACTACTTACACATCTTGCCATGGAGCCTTGTTGATTCAGGTTACCAGTTTGTGTAGAAGTGGGACTAGCAAGGACTCCAGGGGTTATCTGGCTGATGGAGGGAGAAGGCAGGTGTAGGGAGGAGCTGGTGAAAGTGCTGGTGTGAGGACGAGGCTGGTATTCTAGTGCGGGATCGACAATACTAAGTGGAAATCAAAGCAAAGGTAGAATATAGAGTATTACAATCGTGTGTGTGCACTCTGTTTACTTCCTGCCCACATGCAAGCTCTGGTGAGTCCTGTTCTCACACATGTACACTATCATGAACTGCTTCTCCCATGTACAATACACACTTGTGCACTCTTCTTAAACCCAGTTTTGATGCTGCACTCACATGAGCATGTACACAAAGATCACTGTGTTCTTGGTCTGGTTCCCAAATGGGATAGAGCAGCTATTCTCAGCAGTTGACTCTGGTTCTGTGCCCACACTGGCTACAACATGAACTTTGATTTTAAGTTCACACTGCTCACACAGAGAATATTCTCACCAGTGTGCTGTAATCCTGGGCTCAGACTGGAGACAATGGGGCTATATTCACCTAGCTCAGAACACACAGAAATCACCTGATCCATCAGGAATATTCTCAGCAGCAGGCTGTCTGGTTCTGTACTCACCATGGATAGAATAGGCCATTTCCCTGCGATGCATTCTGGTCTGTGTTCATATTGGCCAGTGAGCTCTGGCTATCAGTGTTTATTTCCTGTACACACAGCATGGTCTCCAGACCAAAAGTATGGAGCAAGGCCCCTGGTTTTTGCAGCACTCCAGTGTGGAAATTCTGTTTCTCCTTGGCTCAGAATTCTGGTAGTTCACATAATTATAAAGACAAATGCCCCCAAGGAAGGCGGCTCCTTCCATTTGATCCATGCTTTTACACTAGTAACTCATACAGAATTAACTGCCTCTACATGGTCTGTATGCTCCTGAGCAATTAAGCCTCTGCCATGGTAAACTCAAATTTGGCTAGCAATAAGGACGCCTTTCTGTAAATTTAGTCCTGGTTCAAGCAGGAATCACTCACATATGCTTGTTATGGCTGCTTCCTCCATCAGTTGGGCTCAAGTCTGACATAGAATCATTGAAATTTAGGATTGGAAGGGACCTCCAGAGATCATCTAGTCCAACCCCCTGAGCTGAGGCAGGACCAAGTACACCTAGACCATCTCTGACAAGTGTCTTTGTCTATCCCATTCTTAAAATCTCCCAATGATGGGGATTCCACAAACTTCCTTGGAAGCCTGTTCCAGTACTTTACCCTTGTAGTTAGAAAGTTTTTCCTAATAATTAATCTAAATCTCCCTTGCTGCAGCTTAAGCCCACTATTTCCTGTTCTACCTTCATTAGACACACAGAACAATTGATGACTGCCCTCTCTTTAACAGCCCTTACCATATTTGAAGACTGTTATCAGGTTTCTCTTCAGTCTTCAGTCTTCTCAAGACTAAACATGCCCAGTTTTTTTAACCTTTTTGTATAGGTCAGGGTTTCTAAACTTTTTATCATTTTTGTTGCTCTCCGCTGGGCTCTCTCCAATTTGTCTGCATCTTTTTTAAAGTCAGGCACCCAAAATTGGACATAATATTCCGTCTGAGACCTCACCAGTGCCAACTAGAGTTGGGACAATTACCTCCTGTATCTTAGATATGACACTACTGTTAATATAGCCCAGATGGAGATTTGCCTTTGTCGCAACTGCATCATGTTGTTGACTCATAGTCAGTTTGTGGTCCACTATAACCCCCCAGATCGTTTTCAGTGGTAGACTGCCTAGCCAGTTATTCCCCATTTTCTATTTGTGCATTTGATTTGTCCTTCCTAAGTGGAATACTTTGCACTTGACTTTATTGAATTTCATTTTATTGATTTCAGATCAACTCATCAAAGACGCATTGAATTCTAATCCTGTTCTCAAAAGTGCTTGCAGTCCCTCCCAGCTTGCAGTTGTCTGCTAATTTTATAAGAATATTCTCCTCTCCATTATCCAAATAATTTAATGAAAATATTGAATAGTACTGGACTCAGGACAGAGACCCCTGAGACCCCAACAGATATGACCTCCCAGTTTGATGGTGAACCATGGATAACTACTCTGAGTACTGTTTTTAACCAGTTGTGCATCCATAGAATCATAGACTAGCAGGGTTGGAAGGGACCTCAGGAGGTCATCTTGTCCAACTCCCAATCTAGTCCAACCCCCATCTTTATAGCTACTTCATGTAGATCACATTTTCCATAGTTTGCTTATGAGAATGTCATGTAGGACTGTCAAAAGTCTTACTAAAATACATCATGCCTACTTCTTTCCCCCCATTCACTAGGCCAGTAACCCTGTCAAAGGAGGAAATTAGGTTGGTTTGGCATGCTTTGTTCTTGACAGATCCATTACTTATCACTCCATTATCCTCTAGGTGCTTACAGATTGATTGTTTAATAATTTGTTCCAGTATCTTTCCAGTTAAAGATAGGCTGATTGGTCTATAATTCCCTGGGTTCTCTTTGTTCTCCTTTTAAAAAAGTTAGGTATTGTGTTTGCTCTTCTCTTTTCCTCTGGGACCTGGCATATTCTCCTTGAGTTCTTGAAGATAATTGCTTATGGTTCTGAGATTGCTTTAGCTAGTTCCTTAAGTACCACAGGGTAAATTTTGTGAGGCCCTGATGACTTGAATACATCTATCTTATCTAAATATTCTGTAGCTTGTTCTTTTCTTTTTCTGGCTTGTGTTCCTTCCCTCTTGTTAATATTAATTGTGTTAAGCATCTGGTCACAATTAACCTTTTTAGTGAAGACTAAAGCAAAATAGGCATTAAATATCTCTCGTCTTGATGTTGTCCGTTATTGGCTCTCCTTCCCTGCTTAAGTAGAGGACCTACACTTTCCTTCATCTTTCGCTTGTGCCTAATGTATTTATAGAACTACTTCTTTTTGCCTTTTATGTCCTTGTCTAGGTATAATTCATTTTGTCTTAGCCTTTCTGATTTTAAGCAAGTTCCTATAACCTGGCAGGATATTGGTCAGTATGTTATCGCCCATCTGTACATATAGGCAACATTTCTACTACCTCTTTCTACAAACACATTCAGTTAAGGCCTAGCAGAGTTTGAAAAACTGAAATGACCAGTATTCTATTGGTTATCAGGTAAGTGGAAATGGATAACATTTACCCTGGCTTTCAGTTCCCAAATAGTTTTAATGGCAAATTTTGGTCCTGGCATCTGGGAAGTCACCTGCAGCAACTGCAAGAATATATAATTCTGAAACACATGAAAAACGTTGTTAACTAGTGGGACAGAACTGCAGAGGAGAGGTGGGAATGGGAGAGTAGCAACCCTCCTTGTCCAAATATTATAGATTGTAATTAGGACAGAGCAAATGCAAAATACAGCGAACAATTTCTTTATTCCAGGAATTTCTAACCAACAACAGATTGTGTGTCAACCACTTTTCTGGCAACACAGGTTAAACTTTTTGAAAGCATCTGAGTGATAAAGGAGCATAAGAGCTGCTGAAAGTAGCTGGGACTTGTGTTCCTGAGGCACTTTTGAAAATCCCACTCTCCTACACAAAGGATGCACCTACTTCATCTAGCAGACGCTGAGGGGAACTCATGTTGCTATGCCTTGCCCAGAAACCAACTCTAAGGTTTCTTTTCCTTTTGCAGTTTCATTTGAGTAACTGGCTTTGATTCACCCAGACTTAAATTTTATACAGCACCTTAGATGCCTGGAGATGGATGGGTCCTTTAGAAAACAAATGAATAAACTATTTCCTTTCTCTGACATTAGGCCAGACCTAACTGTGATTCCTGTGACACCCTGCTAGAGACTTCCCTGAAACTAGTTATGATGTCTGTCTTTCTTTGTTTGCACACAGTTAGCAAGCCGGGTGCCCTGTGCTCATGTATGCTTGTCCTATAGACTTCACTTTGAGTGGTGGGTGCCCAGCCCTTCTGCAAACCCGGCCCTTAGTGTTTATGAAGCACTTTGACTCCCCCCACTCTGAAACTTACTATAGATGTGCAAGCTATTGTTCGTTGTTATGCTGACAGTTACCACACAATCAATGTAACTTCAATTGCTAATGGAATAATGGAACAGATTTAAGAGAAGATCTTTGTAAACACCTTCACGTAAATGGAATGAGGAGTAATAAAACCAACCTAAGTTTATAAAGAGGAGACAATAGTCTTGGGCCTAAAGCAGGTGAATGGCAGACAGGTATCTAGGCTCTACTCTTGGATCAGACTTGATCTGTGACTGTAGAGAAGAATAAAAAAACCCACATCTTTTTGCCCCCAAAACAACCCCCCTGTTGAACCAAAATTCTCTGCTGTGCACACAATTCTCCCCTTGGGGAGAGGATGAGAGCGAATGAACCACATGTGATAGGTATTAGTCATGTCACTTAATGCACCTCTGGAAGTTGCTCAGATACTATGGTATAAATACCTGTATAGAATAGAAGCCACTGAATAATTAAGCTTCACAATAGTCCTGTGAGGTAGTCAGTTTCACTCACCACTAAAATGAGCTACTTCTGAGATGAAATGGGGTAGCTGTTTAAAAGCACACAACAATTCTGCATGACAGGAAGCAGAGGATACCGTGTCCACTTGAAATGGCAGGAGGAATTTAAAAAGAATAATTATTTGAGATGGAATTTGCTCAGACATCAGGGCAAACACCCTTACTCCTACAGAGAGTACTATGGGATATTTATATGTGGTCAGACTTTGATAGGCAATATCACAAGTAACACAGTCCCCCTAATACCCTGATGGGGGATTGGTTTAATAGTTATTCAGATGGGAGAGCACTGCCCATTGAATTGTCACTACAGCACCTATGTGCCCATTGGACATCAGTCTACTATAATCTATATATAATAACCTGGTTCAACCAAGATTATCTTGGGAGATACCGCAATGAGAGGTGGTATGTCAAAGCTACAGGATCCCTTCTCTTTCCTTTCTTTGTGGATTGGTACCGCATTTGCTTTTTCCTGGTCCTCTGGTATCTCCCCACTTTTCCTTTATTTTAAAATGTATCAGTATCTTGGTAAATTTGATAACTAAATAAGTCTCTTAAGCTGGGATGCATATTGTCCAAACGCACTTATTCTATGTTTGTATTTTCCAGTATTCCTTTACCTGCTTTTTATGATGTTATTTCAGTCATATTTCTGATGGTTTGAACCTCTTTTATTCATTCTTCTTACTGAAGACATTTTTAAACGTTCTGTATCTCAGCCATTTTGAGTTCATCCCTTTTCCTCTTTTTTTCCCTACAGACCTTTTTTATCCCAACATATTGGTTCAAAGCCCTTCTCATTCCCATTAACTTCTTTGGCTGGTATAACTCATTTAAATACGTTATTGAACTCACCTTTTCCCCATAAGCCTTAACTGATTCTGTATGTATTTATTTGTTCTTTCCTTCTGTTTCCAACAATGAGCTTATTTTTTTAATCCTCAGATCTATTGAGTTTGTACCTGAACTATACTGACTGCTTCTTGTTCTTTTCCCAGAAGATCTCTGTGGTGTACCTTACTTATGTTATGTTTTAGTCTTCTCCAGCCTTCTTCCATGCTTGTGGATTTTAATACCTCTTCCCCTTGCATTGTGCTCTTTCAATACTTTAATTCCTGAAAATTTGCTTTCCTTTATTCTGCTGCATTCTGTGCATTCTTACCTGACTTGGCTCAAGTCGAATAGTTTGTTATGACTGGCAATGGACTTCCCAATTGTCCTCCTTTGTTCCTCCCAACTGGCTTCTCTTCTGCCTGGAGCTCTACTTTCTAGATCATAAAGTTGTTGTCTTTGTAACTTGGGAACATCTTTGCATATTTACGCTGATTATCCAATACACGTCTGGGTAGCTAAGTCCCTTGTGAGTACAATATACAGTGGTTTCAAGAACCTCCAGGAAATTTTCCATAATCCATCTTTTTTTTGTCCTGGGTAGGTCTGTAGCAGATGCAACCTATAATTTTGCCCCTTTTTAATCCACTGTATCATGTCCAAATTACTTAACTACTACACTCTTCATTGTTAGATTGCATTTCTCACTGGGATATTTCCTAATGTCTCACCCATTAAGAGTGAGATCTGTGGCAGTTCACTAGTTCTGTAGCTATGTCTTGCTCTCTCTCTTGCGAGACACCAGTGACACACGTCTTCTGTTATTGGAAGACATACCTAAGTAAGAGCTCATTGGCCTGAGAAAGGAGTGGGGCAGAGTTAGTGGAATGTACTCCCACCATTGGAGCCTGCCTCTTCCTCCTGCCATCTTAATATCCTGCTTGTGAAATAATTAGTGTAATAATCCATAATGGAGATTTAAAAAATTGCCCCACACTTTCCCCCATCATTGGGAGGTAAATCCATGCAGAGAGGTCACTGGGGTTTGCCCATGTGTTATGCTCAATCACTAGCATTCCAAGGGAAGGCTTAAATCTGTGTTAGAGAGGCTGCAGTGAAAATTCACTGTAAGTTAGGTTCTGGTCTTACCTGTTTCTGATGCAGCCTGGAACGTGAACTTGCCTCTGGTATGGACTTGACAGGCATGTGTGAATTTTTCATTTATTGTCCCTTGAACTGGGGGAAGAGAGACACAGAATGAGTAACAGAGGGAAAGAGGAAGAGAAGTAGATAGAGAGGGGGAGAAACAACCAATGGGAGACAAGGGGACAGAAGTAGACGGTGAGAGACTGACAGACAAAGCAAGGTAGAGGTACACATGGAGCCAGTTTCCCTCACCCCCCCACACCAGGAGAAAGTAAAAGACACTCACATGGACTGGGGAGAGAGCCCCTTTTGCAATGGCCATGAAATCAGTCATGTGTAGGTTGTTGTCCAGCCCTGAGGGAGTGGGGGAAGGAATGTGGGTTGGGCAAAGTGTAGAATTGCACCACTGCAGAATTTTTCTTCCACACTTTAAATAGCCAGTACCTTTCACGACTGCTTTCACATTTCCCTCCAATCAGACCCTTGACAGCTCCTTCCTTAAGGTAACTGGCTCACTGTTTTCTTCTGCTTTCCTTCCCCAAACTCCTTTAGTTACCTTGTGGTTGGCTGTTTGTTTAATAATTTTCTAGTGTGTAAAATTTGTTTTGCTTATTCTTCTGAGGAATTGCTGTCAGATGCTTGGGAGTGTTCATTACTGCTCTGTGTGTGTGTGTGTGTGTGTGTGTATATATATATATACATACATGTATGTACACAAGCACACCTTCTGGAGTATGCTGGGGTAGAACCCCCACTCTTATGGCTATTTTTGGAGAACACCATTTGTTGCCATTGTGTTTTTCTGCTCTTTGTGAGAAATGGCTGTACAGGAGAATTAGACGGGGCTTTGACAAGTCGCCTCAGTGGGACACAGGAGAGATCAATGGCAGATGCTGTGTGCAGGAATGTGCGTCCATTGCTCAAATAGTTCTCAGCAATCCTTGCTTATGCACAGTATCTAAGTACCTGCAGCCATCCTCCTCCTCCTCTGCTGATACGTCCTGCTGAGTTTTGCTGCCATGAGTACTCCTTGTAGGGAATGAATAGGCACAAATATCCCATGAATTGCTGCAGCAAAATCATGGTACAATCTGCACCCCAATTCAATGTGTCCCTGCAGTATTCTGAAAACACTGTAGGAATTTGCACTTAATTCAGTCCCAGTCTTTCACAGTAAAAGACTTCTCTAGGGAACTTTGCAGGACAGTGAGCAAATAGGATTAAAGCAGCGGTGAGCTTTCCTACCTGCAGAAGCACTTTATTAAATAGTGTATGAGCACCAGCTCTGCAGGAATCCACAGCTACTGCCGTCCCAGCCTCTGCTAGCAGGAGTCACTGTAGGGAGTAGCATAGAAGCATTGGCTTTGGGCTGCTCACAGCTATTCGTTTCTAGCCTTACCTAGCAGACATTGTAGGGCAATGGCTTTAGGGAATGGAGCAGGGGCACTGGCCGGGGAGGAATTCACAGCTGTCGCCCCTCCTATGTTACACATAATTTCATAACTGCTCTGCCTTTTCCTCCCCTGTAAGCTGGACCTTTAAATCCCTGAGAACTCTGCTATCTGCAGAGAGAGGCAGCTATTTTGAGAGGCAGAGCTGCTGCAGCCTGTCGCAGAGGAAACTCACACTGTGCCCTCATCGAAGCCGTACTTTACTGATCGTTCTTGTTCTCCTAAAGGGACGCTGTCAGCGTGGAAAAAATCCCATTTCTGTCTGAAAAACTTGTATCTTCTCTTCTTACAAGTAACACTGGTAAGATCGCTTCACCTGACAGTAAAAAAAAAAACCCCACTTTTCCCTCTGTCAGTTTGTTTACTTTGTGCATGTGATGGTGGTTGGTGCATGTGACATAACTGGATATAGTTAATTTCATGACTTCCCTGTGGACTTAGTTAATCAGCTTCCTCACTGGAAAAAACCCTTATAAACTACAACAGGGGAGTATAAAAACCTTTATAAAGTATCTTCAAGACATTTAAAAAAATTAGTTAAGGCTTGTCTCCTACGTTTGTACAACTCCTGGGACAGTGTGGCCTCAGTCCAGATTGGGGCCTTTGGGTGCTAGATTAATATAACATAACCAATAATATTAGTAATGTACATAGCGAACAATATTAGTAATTAATATACGTAGTGAATAATAATTAGTAATATTTAAAGGATGCGCTTTCAGAACTGGAGTGTTTTGAAATGAGTCAGTTTTAAATGATAATAAAGAAGGTAGCACCCCTTAACTTCAATTTCATGGATTTATTTTGGATTAATGTAGGTGCTTTTAGTATATTGGAAAAAAACATAATATACCCTATCAGGAATTGTAAGGAATGATACAAGAGTAACTAGTGGGGGGTGTGTGTGTCTGTCTACGTCCCTCAGCTGCTCTAGCCTGAGAGAGAGGTAAATAGCGAGGTCCCCCAAGGATCTGTACTGGGACCAGTTCTGTTCAACACATTCATAAATGATCAGGAAAAAGGGTAAATGATGAGGTAGGAAAGTTTGCAGACGATACAGAATTACTCAAGATAGTTAGGTCCAAAGCTGACTGCGAAGAGTCACAAAACCAGGTGACTGGCCAACAAAATGACAGATGAAATTCAATGTCGGTAAGTGCAGAGAAAACCATCCCAACTATACATACAAAATGATGAGCTCTTGGAGCCATTGTGAAACAGCTGTTCAATGTGTAACAGCAGTCAGAAAAGATAACAATGTTAGGAACCGTTAGGAAAGGGATAGATAATAAGACAGAAAATATCACAATGTCACTATATAAATCCATGGTACACTCGCACCATGAATACTGCATGCATTCTGGTTGCCCCATCTCAAAAAACATATTAGAATGGGAAAAGGCACAGAGAGTGGCAATAAAAATGATTAGGGGTATGGAACAGCTTGCATAGAAGGAGAGATTAAAAAGACTAGGACTGCTCACCTTAGACAAGAAATGACTAAGGGGGGGATAAGATGAGAGGTTTATAAAATTAAGAATGGTACTGAGCAGGTGACTAAGGAAATTTTATTTAAGCCTTGACATAACACAAGAACTAGGAGTCACTTGATGAAATTAATAGGCAGCAGGTTTAAAACAAACATAAGGAAGTACTTCTCCACACAACACAGAGTTAACCCATGGAACTCATTGCCAGGGGATGCTGTGAAGTATAAAAGTATAACTAGGTTCAAATAAGGACTAGATAAGTTCATGGCGGATAGGTCCATCAGTGGCTATTAGCCAAGATGGTCAGGGATGCAACCCCATGCTCTGAGTGTCCCTAAGTCTCTGATGGCCAGAAGCTGACCCTGGATGATGGGAGATGGATCACTTGATAATTGCCCTGTTCCGTTCATTATCTCTGAAGCATCTGGCATTGGCCACTGTTGGAAGACAGGATACTTAGTTAAATGAACCACTGGTTTGACCCAGTATGTTCTTATAAATTTCTGACTTGTTGAATGACTTGTAAACATAATGCTGAAAAATGGTACCAATCCTTTGAAGGTGGGATGGATTACAGAGTCCCTGGGGCAGTTAGCAATGGAGAGACGATACCTGCTCATCCAGGCATGGAAAAGCAGAAGGAAGAAGAGAAGAATCAAACACTGGAACGAGGCCATTGGAACAACAAGCTGGAATATGTGCTATCCGTGGCTGGGGAGATTATTGGCCTTGGTAACGTCTGGAGGTTCCCTTACCTCTGTTACAAGAATGGTGGAGGTAAGTACAGCCCTAGCTCTAACCACTTAGATCAGCTACCCCATCTAGCCACTGATTTCCCTCTGTTGTTCTCCATTGGCCTTAAAGCTTCATGGTCACTTGCATTTTGAATTGCTCTGTGTCTATCTGCACTTGAGAGCTTTGTTTCCAAGAGGTGGTCAGTGAACTTGTTTGCACCTCAGGGGTATACACCTGTGTGCACAGCGGGCCTGATTCCTAGAGGTGCTACGCTTGCCCAAGAAATGCATTTCCTTGGGGGGCAGAGGCAGCCATATTCGCTTGGCACCATACATCTTGCAGTTTTTCAGAGTGTCAGTCTGTGCCAGATTTCCCACAAGTGCTCAGTGTGTTTGTCCACTGCTAGGAAGCTTGTTTCCTAGAGGTTTCCAGAGTCCACATCTGTGTCCCAGGGACCCATTTGCTGAAATGCCTGGAGCCTGGCTGTCTATGCCCAAAAGGCCAATTTCCCAGCAGTCACCAGGCTGGAGTTCTTCACATACAGGCCTGGCATATCTGCGTATTTCCTGGAAACTCCCAATGAGTTAAGGACTCCTGGTGTAGTACAGGGGTTCTCAACCTTTTTCTTTCTGAGCCCCCCCCAATATGCTGAAAAAACTCCATGCCCACCAGTGCCACAACAACTTTTTCTGCATATAAAACTAGAGCCAGTGCTAGGGGTAGCAAGCAGGGCAATTGCCCAGGGCCCCACATCACAGGGGGCCCCACAAAGCTACATTGCTCAGGCTTCAGCCCTGCATGGCAGGGCTCAGGTCCTGTGCAGTGGGGCTTTGGCATTTTGCCCTGCACCCTAGCAAGTCTAATGCTGGTCATGCTTGGTGAACACCCTGAAACCTGCTTGCGGCCCCTCAGGGGGCCCAGACCCCTGCTTGAGAACCACTGGTGTAGTAAACACATCCTGGAGGGTACCCAGCATGTCCGTCTGGCCCTGCAGGGATGCCTGTCGTACTCATTGTGTGTGTGGCAGGGATGGGATCCTGTAACATGTATGTATTAAATCATTGTACGTGAAGGACCTGTCTGCCATGAAGGTGAACATTTAATAACTACACCTCTACCCTGATATAACACTGTCCTCGGGAGCCAGAAAATCTTACTGCATTATAGGTGAAACTGCATTATATCAAACTTGCTTTGATCCGCCGGAGTGCACAGCCCCACCCCCCCGGAGCGCTGCTTTACCGCGTTATATCCGAATTCGTGTTATATCGGGTCATGTTATATTGGGGTAGAGGTGTAAATGCCTGTGCACCCCGAGGGCAGCAGTTTTCCAGAGGTGCCAGGCATGCAGCATTACTGAGGGGATTCAGGCCTAGTTTCTCTATCCCAGGGGTAGGCAACCTATGGCACTTGTGCCGAAGGCGGCATACGAGCTGATTTTCAGTGGCACTCACACTGCCCGGGTCCTGGCCACCGGTCTGGGGGGCTCTGCATTTTAATTTAATTTTAAATGAAGCTTCTTAAACATTTTAAAAACCTTATTTACTTTACATACAACAATAGTTTAGTTATGTATTATAGACTTCTAGAAAGAGACCTTCTAAAAACATTAAAATGTATTACTGGCATGCAAAACCTTAAATTAGAGTGAATAAATGGAGACTTGGCACA